CAAATAATAATAAAGAAATTCGCATTATTAAAAAAAGTCTGTGAATTGTTAAGTTTATGAGCCTAATATAAGGCTTGCGAGCCTACTATGAGGCTCGAGCCGAGCTGAGCCTAAGACTTTTGGACTCAGCTCAGCCTGAGCTTTATGAGGCTCAGCTCAGCTCGGCCTATGAGGAGCTTTACATATTACATTGCACATTTCTATTACCTGTAACATCGCAATAATTAATTCACTAGCATATTTATATGTATGGGATAACAGCAGAGCTAGTGTCTCTGACACATAAAACAATAAACAGTTTATTTTAAACTAAGATCAATTTTCACAACATGCCTATACATAGTACATAATACATATATACGAAGCTTTTAATACATATTATAGATATAAAAAACTAATCATTATATTAGACATAGTCTCGAATCTATGCTTCTTCTATGAGAATATGAATCGTGATTTCAGCAGGAGGTCTGCTATTGAAATAATTACTAACTTTTTTTTCAGGTTCCATATACACATATTCTCTACGTTCAACATCAACCGCACGAAGATTAAAAGAAGCATTTCTGTACTTATATAACAAGGTATCACGAATTTTAGTACATAATGTACTGACTGATTCATTCGTAGAAATAAGGATTACATGTGGTATATTAATTTGATACCCAAAAAATGTGCCAGTAGGTATAATAAAATATGTGAGATGGAGTTCAATCATTTTCTGTTATAATACAGAGATCTTATTAGTTAGAATTCCTTTCATCATCATGAAAGATTATAGCAAATAGACTTACCGTTTTTTCTTTTTCTTCTGGTATGAATGATAGTGAAGGTGGTGTCTTGCTTTTTATACATTGTTAATCTGATCAGATAATTTAGAGTATCAATATAATGCATTTATCCTAGCTTATTTTATTTGTTATTCATAATCACCTAATGTAAAGTTTTCGAATAATAAAGTGAAATTAGCAAGTTGATTCATATGTTTTAAGATTTTTCATGTGACCCAATTTCTCACGCCCATAATCATAGCGTATGTTTTGTGGCATGCAAAGTCGATCATGAGGGATTAACGTGGTACTAGTTGATCAAAGTTAATTGTGCACAGATTGCACAGATTAAGAATGAAAGAGGCAAATGCAGAATGGATATTATTTCAGATAAATTGACAGAACAAAGATTCTTTTGGTATAATTGATCACAAATGTATGGTGCTGATGATTTCAAACTATAAAT